TATATTTTAAATAGCCAATTTATCCCTATATAATTTATAATAAATAGTAAATAATTTCTATAAAATAATTTCATGTACTAAAATGATTTAAAATAGATTTTCAGCATCTTAAAAATATAGAAGGTCGATTTTATGCATACAAATGTAATCATACATTAACAGGGCTAATTTTGTAATTATATGCAATTTAGCTTTAAAAATACAAAATGCAATTATAAAAATGCATAAAAAATATTTTAATCATATTTTGGCATTAATATAGAATTTAAATGACTAAATCACCACAACAATAATTTGAGGGATAATTATTGGGGATTTTATGAGCAAAAGGGAAGGAAATAAATCAATTTAAAGACTTTAAAAATATAGAAAAATTATAAAAACCTTGTGTTATGATATTTTGAAAGTATTTATGCATACTAAAAATATAGGGAAAAATTGGGTATCAACAATGCCAATAGTTCGAGAATTTGCCGATGTGTTCCCTTTGACCTTATAGGCGTGCCACCGGATCGTGATATTGATCCCTGTATTGATTTGGCTCCAGGTACCCAACCTATATGTATCCCACCATACCGCATAGCTCCGAAAGAGTTGAAGGAGTTGAAGAAGCAGCTTGAGGAGTTGTTAGCAAAGGGGTGGTTTATGAGACCAAGTGTATTACCTTGGGGTGCACCAGTGCTATTTGTGAAGAACAAATATGGGACTATGCGGATGTGCATTGATTACTGCCAGTTGAACAAAATCACTATCAAGAACAAGTACACGTTGCCGCGCATTGATGATTTGTTTGACCAGTTGCAGGGTGCTAGGGTATTCTCTAAGATCGACTTGAGATCGGGGTATCATTAGGTGAAGATTCGGGACTCAGATGTCCCGAAGACTGCCTTCCGTACTAGATATGGCCATTATGAGTTTATGGTGATGTCCTTCGGCTTGACTAACGCCCCGACGATGTTTATAGATTTGATGAACATGATGTTCAGGCCTTATATTGATTCGTCCGTCATTGTCTTCATTGATGACATCTTGATTTAATCACGTAGCCTAGGGGAGCACGAGCAACATTTGAGAGTGGTGCTTCAGACATTGCGGGAACAGAAGCTATATGTTAAGTTCTCCAACTGTGAATTTTGGCTAGAGTCTGTGGCATTCTTGAGTCAGTTCAGTTGGCCACATCCCACTTCGATGACTGAGATCAGGAGTTTCCTGGGGTTAGCAGGTTATTATTGCCGGTTTGTGCAGGGCTTTTCATCCATTGCTACACCTTTGACTAGATTAACCCATAAGGGTGCTCCATTCTGTTGGTCCGATGATTGTGAGGCGAGCTTTCAGAAGCTCAAGACAGATTTGACTACAACACCGGTTCTAGTGTTGCCTTCCGATTCGGGGATGTATACGGTGTATTGCGACGCTTCCCGTGTTGGCTTGGGTTGTGTATTGATGCAGGAGGGGCGATTTATTGTATATGTTTCGCGTCAGCTGAAGATTCATGAGAAGAATTACCATGTGCACGATCTAGAGATAGTCGTGATTGTTCATGCTCTTAACATTTGGAGGTATTATCTTTATGGGGTGTCATGTGAGGTTTACACTAATCATCGAAGCTTACAACATTTGTTCAAGTAAAGGGACCTTAATTTGAGGTAGTGTAGATGGCTTGAGTTACGGAAGGATTATGACATCACCGTTCTTTATCATCCGGGCAAGGAAAATGCGGTCGCGAATGCCTTAAGCAGGAAGGCAGAGAGTATGGGTAGCTTGGCATTCATTTCAGCAGAGGAGAGGCCACTAGCTTTGGAAATTCAGTCCTTGGCTAACAGACTTGTGAGGTTGGATATTTTAGAGCCCAGCCGAGTTCTCGCGTGTGTTGTTGCCCAGTCTTCACTATTGGAGCAGATCAAGGCTCGACAGTTTGATGATCCGCACTTGGCAGTCCTCAGGAAAACGGTACTACAGGGTGGTTCCAAGGAGGTTTCTATTGGCGAGGATGGTGTTATGCGACTCCATGGTCATCTATGTGTTCCCAATGTCGATGGCTTGAGGGAGAGGATTCTAGAGGAAGTACACAGTTCTCGGTATTCTATTCATCCAGGTCCTACAAAGATGTATCGTGACCTGAGACGGCATTATTGGTGGCGGCGGATGAAGAAAGACATAGTTGAGTATGTGGCTAGGTGCCTAAATTGCAGTAGGTCAAGTATGAGCACCAGAGGCCAGGTGGCCTACTTCAGCAGATGACTATACCTGAGTGGAAATGGGAGCGCATCACTATGGACTTTGTGGTTGGACTACCACGGACCTTGCTGAAGTTTGATGCAGTTTGGGTCATTGTCGACAGGTTGACCAAGTCGGCACACTTCATTCCAGTTGTGACTACATATACTTCAGAGAAGTTGGCCCAGATTTATAATCGGGAGATAGTTCGGTTGCACGGCGTGCCTGTTTCCATCATATTAGATAGAGGCCCTCAGTTCACTTAACATTTCTGGAGAGTCGTACAGAGTGAGTTGGGGACCTGTGTAGAGCTCAACCCATCATTTCATCTGCATACCGACGAGCAATTGGAGCGGACATTTCAGACCCTGGAGGACATGCTCAGGGCATGTGTGATTGACTTTGGAGGGCAGTGGGATCAGTTCTTGCCCTTGGTCGAGTTTTCTTACAACAATAATTGTCAGTACAACATCGAGATGGCTCCATTTGAGGCTTTATATGGTCGGCGATGTCGTTTTCCCATCGGGTGGTTTGAGCCCGGCGAGGCTAGGTTATATGGTACTGATCTGGTGAAGGATGCTTTGGAAAAGGTAAAGTTGATTCAGGAACGACTTCGCACAGCACATTCCAGACAGAAGAGCTACGCGGATCAGAAGGCGCGGGATGTATCATTTATGGTCAGCGAGAAGGTTCTCTTGAAAGTCTCACCGATAAAGGGTATTATGAGATTCGGGAAGAAAGGCAAGTTGAGCCCCATGTTTATAGGCCCATTTGAGGTGTTGAGGCAATTAGGGAGGTTGCTTATGAGCTTGCTTTACCTCCCAACCTATCATGAGTTCATCCGGTTTTTCATGTGTCTATGCTCTGGAGGTACCGCGCCGACTTGTCACATGCGTTAGATTTTAGCACTATCCAGCTAGATGAGAGATTGGGTTATGAGGAGGAGCCAGTTGCCATTGTTGCTAGACAGGATCGGCAGTTGAGATCTAGGAGGATTTCCGCGGTAAAAGTTCAGTGGAGGGGCCAACCAGTCGAGGAGGTGACTTGGGAGTCCGAGGAGGACATGCAGAGCAGATATCCGCACTTATTAAGCACTTCAGGTATGAATCTAAACCCGTTCGAGGATGAACGCTTGTTTATGAGGTGGAGAATGTAACGACCCGACCAGTCATTTTGCTGTCGTTCCCCTAAATAAGACTTCTCGTACTTGTTTTTACTGATTTATGACTTGCGGGGACGGGTAGTTCAGAATTTGGAAGAGTTTGGGTTGAAATCAAAACACTTGGTTCCTTAAGGTTGGCTTAAAAGGCCAAGTTTGACTTCAATCAATATTTTGAGTAAACGGCCTCAAAATAGGGATTTGACGGTTACAATAGGTTCGTATGATGATTTTGGACTTGGGAGTATGTTCGGATCGGGTTTTGGATGACTGGGAGCGTTTTGGCGCCTAATAGCGGAAGTTGGTTCTTGAAGATTTTAGAAGTTCTTTGAATTTGGTTTGGAGCGGTTTTTGGTGATATCGAGGTCCAAACGGAATTCTGAGGCCGAGAATAGTTCCGTAATGTCATTTAAGACTTGCACGCAGAATTTGGTGTCATTAGTATAAGTACGTTTCGGCGCATTGGAAGTAAATTGAAGAACTTGAAGTTCTTAAGCTTGATTCAATTGGTTTTAGGGTGTGATTCTTAGTTTTGATGTTGTCTCGGGCGTTCCGAGAGTTCGAACGAGTCCATTTTATGATTCCGAACTTGTTGGTACGTTCGGGCGAGGCTCGAGGGGGGGGGGGCGAGCGTCAATCGGTCGAGGCCCGTACCAAGTTGAAAGTTTGGAGCAAGAGCTGAAGCTCCATCTATTGTCATAACTGCACCTACGGTTGGTCAGCCACAGGTGCGGGCCAGGCCTCGCAGATGCGGCCCAAGGAGGGCAACCCAGTTTGTGCAGATGCGGTGCCCTGTCCGCAGAAGGGGGACGGCAGGAGCGGGAGCGCGTCCGCAGAAGTGACCCCAGCCGACCCAGCCAATTCCGCAGAAGCGAACCCTCATCCATAGAAGCGGGATCGCAGATGCGGCCAATGCACTGCAGGTGCGAAAATCGCTGGGGTAGTGCACTTCATTTAATATTGGAGTTAGGCATTTTTGACTCATTTTCTTCCATAGTTGGGCGATTGGAGAGCTCTCAAAGAGGGGATTTCGACCTACCTTTTGGAGATAAGTAATTCTTACCAAATGTGAGTTAAATACCTAGATTATGGGTAGATTAACATGCAAAATTAGTGAAAATCAAGGGTTTAGAGAAAAACCTAGGTTTTTGATAAAAATGAGAATTGACCACGAAATTTGTTATGAAACTCAGTAAAAACCGTATATTATGTTCCTAAAGTTATGGGTAATGACTTTCTTCGAAAATTTCCGGAATCCGAGTATGTGTGCCCGGGGTGAATTTTACAAATCTTGCAATTTGGGTTGGGTAATCACTTTAATAATGAAAATATGAACTTTTGAGCATAAATTGATTAGTTTATGTAATATTTTTTTTGGCAATTAAAATTATTATTAATCACCAAAGGAAACATTACAAATCATAGCATAGCACTCTCAGCTAGTTGTTCTTTACATTGATTGCCCAAGATCTAACACTATCTGTGCCTTCTAACCCTATACATGTTCTAGTAAACTCAAATCAAAATCACTATGCCTACTTTTCTTCTTCTTCTTTTCTTCAGAAGTATACTTGTTGTATCATCCCTTTCACTTTCTGTTCTGCCCTAAAGTAGCATATGCTCACTACCTCCCTTGCCAATGTTCATGTTCCCTATTTGCACCCTCAAATATTCGAGCATTTCTTTCTCTCCATAGCACATGTATGTATTCAGCATACAGCATTTTGATTAACATTGCTGAAGCTGTCTTCCCTTTCGAGTGATGAATGATGAGTTGGAAAAACTGTATCCATGTGTTAGGAACAATGAAGTGGACTTGAGCCCATTCAGATAACCTATTCCATAGTCTGGTGGCATATGAGCATTCTGCAAACAAGTGTTCTCTTGTTTCTTTTTCAGCGTGGCATAGCACACATATCTCATCCATATTGATACCCCATTTTTCCAGGCTGTCTTTTGTTAGCAACCTTCCATGATTATGTAGCCACATAGTAAATATGGCTTTTGGTCTAGCATTGTTCTGAAACATTAAGCATTTCCAATCCATCTTAGAGTGAATTGGTATCAATTTGCAAATATATGTGCTTAATGATACTCTTTTGCTCATCAAGTGACTTGTGGAGTTGATTGATTATCTGTTTTGCTTCAAAAATCTTCCTGATCATCCAGCTTGCACCATGAGGTATACTCATATCATCAATCCTTTGCTGCTTAACATAATAAGCATGGATCCATTTGATCCACAACTTATCTTGCTTATGAGTTAGATCCCAGTAGGTCTTGGCAATTGCAGCTTTGTTCCACACCTGCAGATTGATAAGATTAAGTCCCCCTACAGATTTAGGGAGACACACCTTTTCCCAGGAGAGTAATGATTTTTTGGTAAGTACATTTCCACCAGACCATAGATAACTTCTGCAATATGCCTTAATTAATTTGACAACCTTAACTGGAAGAGTAAATAATTGAGCCCAATAAGATTGTATTCCAAATAGCACTGTTTGTATCAACTGAGCTCTGCCAGCATATGATAATTTTTTTGCTGTCCAAGATGTTATTCTTGCTACCATTTTTGTAATGAGGGGCTGCCACTGAAGAATGGATAGCTTTTTAGTGTCGAGTGGGACCTCCAAGTACTTAAAGGGTAACTACCCCTCAGTATAACCAAGGGTTTTTTAGTGTTTATGTAATCTTTGATTAGTTTCGAGTCGTTTGCATTGAATTTGGAGGTTTGAGCGCATTCTTGAATTGGGAAATGGGCCTTGAGACGAGGTAAGTCTCATTTCTAACCTTGTAAGAGGAAATTAACCCCATGGGTGAATTAAATAAATGTTTGTACCTATTTGTGGGGGCTACGTACGTACGTGGTGATGGGAGTCAGTACGTGGCTACTATTATGCTATTGTCCGGGTAGTTTAGGACTCGTATCATGCTATATTTGAAATGCTTGCATCCTTACTTGCTATTATAATCACTTAAGTCATGTTGCAAATTGATAAAAGAAATATAGAAGGTTATACACACTTTCTTGAGGATTTTTATGAGAGACTTGACTGTAAATGAAAAATTTGTGTTTTCTTAAAAATAAATTGTTATTTATGGATCGAGCCGAGCGCCTCGGTAGTGAATAGATGCATCTATGGTTAGCACCGTTCGACCCTCCGGCAGCAGTTTAATATTATGTTGGACCGGGCCGTACGACCTCAACATAATTGCGCATGCTAATTATTTGGAACTCTCCGTGATTTATACTGCTTAAATGCCTTGAAATTAAATGATATGACTGAAATTGAAATTTTATTTGTGAAAGAAGAACTTATCACCTCCTGTTATTAAGCTGTCAGTATTATTCATGATATCCGTGCTTAGAATAACACTTTGATTATATTATTGTTAGCCCTAGTAAGTGTCAAGTCGACCCCTTCATCACTACTTCTTCGAGGTTAGACTGGATACTTACTGGGTACATATTATTTATGTACTCATACTACACTATTGTACTTAATTGTACAGGATATGAGGCAGGTGCATCTAGTTACCCGTCCGGCGCGCGTAGTTGATCCCCACTTCGAGACTCTACGGTGAGCTGCCTTCCGAGCCGATCTGCAGCAGTTGGAGTCTTCCTTATGTTTTACTTTTCTGTCTATTTTCTCTCAGACAGTAGGCTAGCAGTATTCTTTTGTATATTCTATTAGATTGTCCATACACTTGTGACACCAGGTCTTGTCTTACTCACTAGTGGACTATGATTTTGGGTTTACGTACATGATTCTAATTAGTACTTATTGTTTCCGCTTATTTATGTTTCACTTGAAATTTCTAAATCTTTTTAACAAATAAGAAAATGTTACAACTTAATAATTTATTTAAACGGGAAACCACTAGTTGATCGGTGTTGGCTTGCCTAACAACGATGTTGGGCACCATTACAACCTATAATGAAATTGGGTCGTGACAGGTTTGATTTCGGTTTGATTTTTTTTAGTTAAAACCAAATCAAACCAATTATGGTCAGATTTTTTTTTTCTATATCAAAACACAATTGGGTTTTTCTTCCTCCGATTTGACTCGAATTATTGATTTTCTTTGTACACCCCTCGTGCTGAGTATAAACATCCCAATGAAACCTTTTAATTTAGCTTGGGACTTAACTTGTATATACGAATAACGTAAATTAATTTTATACTGTTAGTGTTTTTCAGTTTGTTTATATGACTTGTCATACTTTTCAGATTACAAATTATAGAAACTTTTATAATTCAAGCAGTACCAATATTTTTATTAAGATAGGCTGTCTACACAATACTTTAAGGGATGCGGCCCTTACGTGGACCCTGTGATGCACTGGGTTGTCTTTTTTAATTTCTTCTTTTTTGTGGGTCCTACAGTAATGGATATCCCACCCACCCCACACTCCATGTAGGGACAATAAAAATGAATCTTTATCCACTAACAAGAAAAAAGATTGGACAATAATTCACTATGATATTCTAGGCTAGGCCAACTTAAATTTCATCAACCTTTTTGTTTACCTTGTAACAACTGACTAAGTAAATTTATTTCATACTTAATTCCCACAAAAAGAAAAAGCTTTGAACTATAACATAAATTAGATAGTATACCTAATTGTGAAAAGTTTTAAAATTCATTATTCTGAAAAGTTGTTTAATAAATTTAACTATGTATATGAAATACTTACTATGTTCTCGAACAGTCGATCACAATCTCATAACATTTTAAAATTCCTTCTGTATAACTATTTTATTTCTATTCCTTCCTCTTGTCTTAGAAATGATTACTATTAGTCTGAAGATAGAAAGTTTACTTAATAACAAGATATCATAAGATTAAAATCAACTCTACAAATTTAGTGATGTTTTTTGGGTGTGTGGAGAGGGGGAGGGATGTAGAGTAGTAGAAAAGAAATTGCTTGATAATCTATATCTATCTATCTATATACTATACTAGTTAGTTTTAGTGTACGTGCGTTGCACGTGTGCATTATACTAATCAATATAAACGTATACAAGAAGAATAAATTATTGAAAATAACATATTATATTAAACTAAATCCAGTATTTGCTAAACTGGCGGAAATGAGTGTTATTACATTGACACAAGAATTGAATTTAATATCTTCTGAATTTATTGTATAATATTTGTGGTTAATAGATATTTTATTATATAAAATACAAATATATTATATTATTGTATATCACCTAACATCTCATTAAAAATGTTATATATCAATATAAAAGAATGACTTTTTAAACTAAATAAAAAGAATGCACACTCTTTCAATTGATACAAAATTGAGTATAAAAGAATAAAAGATAGAATCTAATTTAATTTTATCAAGATTCTAAAAATAATATTATAGGTAAAAAATAAAATTAAGCTACTTTTATAACAAAAAAGATTAAAATTTAAAACGCGATTTGAATTTCTCTTTTTTTTCTTTGTTTTCTTAGGTTTGAGTATAATATTAAAACTTTTTTCTTTGATATTTATATGCCTGATGTTAGCATGGTGATCGAATTTGTTTTTGTAACCTAGTTACATAGATGTTGTTTTCATTCAAAGTTCATAAAAATTATAAGTAAGTTAAGTGGACCTCTTCTTGTGAAAAATATTATCTATAATCTTAATACTATCCTAAACTCATTCTCAATGAATTCTACCAATGATGCCTTTGAAAGTTCAATGATTCACAATGTTGTGGTGTCACGATCCGGATTTCCCACCATCGGGATCGTGATGGCGCCTACTCGTAATTACCTTTCCATCACTAGCAATTATCTTTAACAGTTTATAACATCAATATAGAACATAAAGTCTAATAAGAACAATAGCGGAAGTCTGTCTTAAAATGATGAATTTAAAACGCGGAATAGTCAAAAACAACCTCTACCCAAGATTTGGTGTCACATTACTCACGAACCACTAAGAATAAACTAAATACAAAGGTCTGAAAGAAATATAACAGTTGTCTGTCTCGAAACAAGGAGGCAACAGTCTAAAAGAAAACAATGAGAAGAGACGCCGAGCCTGCGGACGCCTGCAAGGCTACCTCAGTCTCGTGAATATGAATCGCCTGCTTCCGAACTACTGCTGCTGCTGTTCCTCAAAACCTGGACCTGTGCAAAAATGCACAGAAGTGTAGCATCAGCACAACAGACCCCATGTGCTGGTAAGTGTCTAGCCTAACCCCGGCGAAGTAGTAACGAGGCTAGACTGGACACCACATAAACCTGTGCAGTTATAGATATACAGCGGAAATCGAATACAAAGCAATTACCAACATGGGAGGGGAAACATGCTATGGGAAGTTACAATAATAACAATAATCCAGAGTAACAACTAAAGCAACTTAGGTTCACAATGAACAAGGAATCAATACTCAAATGTAACCACATAGCCTCAATAATTGTTGCGGCGTGCAACCCGCTCCATAATTACCATTGTTGCGGCGTGCAACCCGCTCCACAATATCATTGTTGCGGCGTGCAACCCGACCCATATCACTTATCATACATCATTGTTGCGGCGCGCAACCCGATCCTCATATATTATTGTTGCGGCGTGCAACCCGATCCTCAATATTATTGTATAGTCCGACTCCCCAAACAACAGTCACAATCAAGGGGCACAAAATAAGCAAATATTTGACAAACATCCCGGCAAGGGAAAGAATTCAACAAATGCAACCAAACATCCCGGCAAGTGAATAATCAACAACGCTTTTTCTTTCTTACTTTCCTTATCTTTTAATTCACTTTACTATTTTGAGCCAACGCTCCAAAGAATCAAGTCATTTCGTATACTTTCAATATTCGTATCACAATTCGAGCCAATGCTCTCAGGAATCAAGTGATCATATTACCGTTCACATGTTATTCACAACAAATAGAAATCCTCCAATAAACACGGAGTTCACAACCAAGTCACGATAATCACATTAATAAGACTCACGGTCATGCTAGACACCAATGTATAGATACTCGTCACCAAGCCTATACATCGTACTCGATCACATAGCAATCAGCA